CTTCCAACAAAATATTAAAATACAGTAATCTATCAAACATTAAAAGCTTCCCTAAACAACCAAAGCTCCCAAGCAGGACCTGACTGCTACACCATTCTCCCTTCATGTAGCTGGCATTCAGTGAAGGCAGAGCAAAGCCACTGTGGCTAGTAACCATGGATTCAGCATGAATTTGTTGAATATTCCTTTAAAGCCATCCTTCAGATGCAAGCAGTTTCCTGGTCTTCCTCAGATGTTTCCTGGTCTTCCTCAGCATGCCTCCAAACAACACACACACACAATTTTTTTTGTCCTACTGAAGTCAGAGCTCCAATGTCAGTTGAGCTAGGGCATTTGAAGCTTCAGAGGTCATGGGAAGGGGAAATGTGATGTCAGATCTCCCTCTCTAACATGTACAGTGTTGATCAGTGTTGATAACTGATATGTTATGGCAACTGGGTTTGCATGATCCTTAGAATCATGGAGCTGACAGGTACTACAGCCAGTCCAACCTCCTCCTAATAGAGGTAATCCAAGGCACAGAATAAAAGAAGCTGTTTCTTTTAAAAAATAAAAACCCTACTTTCAAATAATTAAGATATATTTTGGTCATAACCCAACAGAGATTCAACTTCTGATGAAGTGGGCTCCAGTGCATGGAAATCTATGCAGAAATATTCAACACAGAGTTGAGTGTGCTCATGCCTATTGACTTCACTGGGTATAAAATGCAAATAACTCTGTGCTGAATTGTGGCCTCCACATTCTCATTTTCTTCACCATGGGTCTGGTTTGAGTTAGAGATGCTGTGCTTGGCAGGTCACCAAATGGGTATGTTTACATGAGTGTATGTGGTTGCCAAGTTACAACCACTAGAGCAGCACCCAACATGGCTAGCAATGTTCAACACCACCTACTTTAAGTAAACTTCACTTTGGTTTCCCCCCCCCCCCCCCGAGGCATTTGCCACAGTACAACAGAGAGCTAAGTGAACGTAAACCCACCGATCATCACAACGGATCTTCAGTGGAAACCTATGCCTGTATATGCCGAATTAAGGCTCACTGAATCAAATGAGGCTTACTGCCAGATAAGTGGGTATATGATTTCAACTTTAATCTGGTGCTGAAGTGGGACCAAAATTACATGTGTGTGCCTCATCTGTGTGTGTAAACAGACCATTTTGGAAGCCAGAACATGTGCATTCTGCCAATGAGGATGCCAACCAGTTCAAGTCCAAAAGGCATTTCATTCTCTTTATTCTAATGTGCTTGTGTTTCCCCCCGAAATGATTCTTTTACTTCTGGAAAACATTTAAAAGAGAAACAATGCAGTTCTCCTCCAAAGAGCGAGGAAGACTGAGGGGTGTGGGAACCATAAAACCAGAAGAATAGAGGAAGGTAACTACATAAAATGTGCTATGGCTTAACAGGACTAACTTATCTCAGTGCAGCTTCACAACATCAATTCGTGGCTTATACAGGCTTGATTCCTCTTTCCATCCAATACACTAAGGACTTGCATACTAGTTCAGTGGATTTTCTGCACAATTACAGATTATTGCCATGGCAACCTACTGCATCACATGACAACTTTGTTACCTCCGAGACTAGAAACAGCCATTAAAGAAATACACATAATCTAGTAATGGGACTTTTTACTGTTGGCCTCACATTGTTTTAAGAGTAATCGTTTGCTTTTCCAGAGACATGTTTTTCCTCATTTTGGTTGTGGTTGGGTTTTTTTAATCACATACTTTTTTTAATGTTTTCTGTAGGAATAAGTTCCAGGAAGGTAGCCATATTAGTTTGTTGTAGCAAAAACAGCAGAGAGTTTTGCGGCAACCTAAAGACTATAGGTAGTATTCAGCTACATTTTACTCAGAGTAGACCCACTGAAATTAATGGACCTAACTTTGTAATTTTGATTAATTTCAGTTGTTTTACCCTGAGTAAAACTTATTTGAACATCACTCTAATAAATTTGCTACGTTCATATTGATACTCTCCTTATCCCCAAATGAAGCTCCCTCACAACACAGATTTTGTCCTTCTCCTGCTTCCCTCCTTTTCTTTGTCCTGAAAGTACAAATGCACCACTAAAAGGAGGTAAATTAATGCCATCATCCAGAACCGCCTTCCTTACTTCCTTTTTCTTAAAATAATAATAATAATTAGGTGCTTCTTGGGCCTTAAAATTGCCCAAGAAAGTGAAACGAATCTTCTGTTGTTGAAGCAAAAGGAGACAGAGGCAGCAATGGTGCCTATTCTTCTTAGGTTTTGGTGTTACTTATAAATCGTCAGGAAGCAAACTTCCTCCTTGCATTATGTAAGAAAGGTTATACTATATTTCAAACAGTAACAACTAAAGCAGATGAAGATGACTTCCAAACAGCCTTAAAGTGCCTCACATATTTAAGTCCTCTTCCAAAGATTGCGAGTGGCCATAAAATGTGTAAAGGGAGCAGGCAGGTGTGTAACGGCCCCACTTTCAGTGTCCCAACCATTCCAACTCCAACTTCCCCACATAGGAAGGAAGATCTTAAGAGGGCTTGCAGGCACATTTGACTGAACATGTTTAGAAGCCGCCCCTGCCCCCCCCCCCGAAACATGACATTATCAAGGTTTTCGATCGTATGCCCCCTCCTTCCACACACTAAGCTGATATGTCACAAAGAATATAAAAACTTGAAAGCGTTGCATGTAAAAGATCTGGAAGATCTGTCAATTCTCCTGGTGTTCATCAACACTTCTGTGCTAATAAAAACGTTCCAGAGTTGTGTGTGTTGTGTGAGTTGTGTTGCATGGGCACACACCATTCATTCCCTCTCCGTCACACTCCTGCAAAAGATTGGTGTTTTATATTTCTAAATTCGTGATAATAAAGAACTGGCAAATAAAACACTGGGAAGTAATGAGTAATGACTTAATGGAGGACTGGTACAGACAAATATGGCAAATCAGTTTAATGGAGAAATTAACACGTTAGGCAGCTGAAAAATATGGACCTCAAAGATGCATTTTTTTCATGGTGGGAAGGAACATGTTGACAGGAATGTGATATGGACATTATCTCTGTATTTTATCTTTTATGGTGGGCTGACTAAACCAGAAACTGAATGTATGCTTTGTGCACCATTGCTGTTACATGAAACGATGTGTATACATATTTTAATTATGTATATTAATTATAGGAAAATTAATAGACCGACAATAGATTCCCCTCACCCCTACGAACAATTAATCTAAAGGGTTGGTTCTCAAATGGCGTGAGTTATTCATCTTCTCAATAGGCTCTGCTACCTTAGCAAGTTTTTTTAAAAAGTCTATTTGCCCTCCTTGGGCAGGGAGCTTTGAGGGCTGGCACAGCGTCTCACCTGTGAACCAGTGTATTGCCAGCTGGATTGTACTCCTGTCACTAAATTGACCAATGGCGGCAGGAATCTAGGGGGCATTCACCTAGATATGGTGCCAACTGACCAGTAGCAGAGCTTGGCACTGCACCCAGGGGAAGGATAAACACCTAGCCAGCAGGGCCTTTCAGCCTCTCTCTTGCCCTGCTGGTTCTCCCACCCTAATCCCACCCAGATTAGGTTTTTGCCAGTGGTACAACCTTGCTATGGACAGTGTCGGTCGCTGGAATCAGGGGCCGGAAATTTTTCCCATCTGGCAAATTGGCTCCACCATCACTTACCTCATAGCAATCATCACAACTTTGTAAGGCGGATAGGCATTGGGTTAAGCCTAGTCTTGGTTGGAGGGAAGGTTGTAGCCTCTGTTTGCCCCTCCATGGGTAATGGTATCCTGTTAAAAGGATCCAGGAGGAGGGGCTCCTGGCTGAGGCCCAGATGGGGGCTAGGGCCATACCACTCCTCCAAAGTGGACTGCTTGGGGGAACGCTCCGATTTAACATAGGTCATAGGGCATCTCCCCCCCTTGGCCTCACCCTTAGAAACACTCCCAGTGGGTGGGCAGGAGTGACATATGCTGTTGCTTACCTCAATCCCTATGGCCAAACCTTTCACAATAAAGTTGTGGCCTTATTTGATCCCAAAACCCCAATATGCTGTGTGTTGTCTAGTTATCTGCACCTTAGGGGATAGGGTGGCCGCGGGGCCTCACCACTCAAGTGCCTCCACAGCAAAGTATCTCTGAACCTGGAACATTTGCATGACAGTCAGAACCTTTCATCATAGCCTGACTGGCCCTCAAAAGGTGATGGTGGACTGAGGTGATTTAAGACATTAAAAAAACAAACAAACAAAACCACTTCTGTTACTATTATGATGAATATGCTTCCCTATTCTCAACCCTTTTCCCTGATAGTTTCTCAAGCAAAAGTATGTGGATTTCTGAGCTATCATCAATAATTTTTGAATTAAGAAATAGTTTTCTCCCAGGAAAAAGCATTCTGGTTTTTCATGGTGGTGGGTATGTAACTCATTCCTGTTTTCTGTTTCAGTATATTTTCTTTGTGTTAAAGAGCTGTTGATGCCTCAGGGAAAATTCATATACAGATCCTATCTAGAAACAATTCCCTTTCTCTGAGTAATATCTTTATTGTGCTAATTTTACAGGTATTTGCATCGCTTCAGTTCAGATTCTTCTCCTACATACTCTAAAGTAAATGGCGGGGCATCATTTTTTTTTTCCTTTTTGGCCTTGTTGAGTTGCACTAAGTAAAGCCAGAAAAAAGGGGAAAAGTGATTTGAACTGATGCTTTTCATGTAAATAGCCTCCATAATAAGGAATAAGGAATGCATCTATTATAAAATATATCCCAGATTTGTTTCTTACTGAACCCCCTCTCCCGCCGTTAGTGGAAATTCTGCCTCCATCCAAGTTAGTTTTCTTAATGAGGCTATTGCCTCTTGTAGTTCTTCCTATTTAAATGTTTCTGATAAAGAAATACAATTTTATCATATAGCTTCATTTAGGAACATTTTCAAATTTGAATGCATGCATATTTCCATACCCTCCAGTGGCTTGTATTTAATTCTTGCTTAGCTTTTTTTTTTCTTTGGCATGTTTTTCAAGCAAGGGAAAGAAAAGATCAAACCATGTTGCTGCATTGTATAGTGCTTTAATTTCATGCACACGAGGCAAGCATGAGGTCTTTGGTAAAATGTGGTTTTGTAGCTTTCAACCCATATTGTGAAGAGTTGCAGAGATCATTCTTCCTAAAAATGTCAGCTCAGCGCTAAAGCCATTAAAAACAGCAGCAGCGGTAAGCAAACAGATCATTATGATTGTGGCAGTGTTAATCCCAGAGGGTTTTTTTTTAAAAAAAGGAAAAGTATTAATATATATAAAAAAAACCAAGAATGGTTTTATATAAATCTATTGGGCGATATTCTACTAACAAGTTCCATCAGGGCAAGGATTTCCACTTGTGCAATGGGACATTCTCTCCCCACTCCCCACCCTGCACACACCCCACACTCACCCTGCTCCAAAGGGTTGGGAGAACGCGTAGAACAGAATTAGGGGGTACCTGGGGAGGGGAGGGGAGGGAAGCAAGGGGAGGGGAACGTTCTGTTGTGCAAGCAGAAATATTTGCACTGATGGAACAATGTTGCATTCCACATAATGTCTATATAAATACTAAGGAATAGGTGAAATTCAGCATACCCATCCACAAGTGGTACAGAGAACAGGATCAAAAATGTTCAAGGGTATCAAAATGGTTGGCAAGTGACTCTTGTATTTCCTTACTAATTGTATTTCCATACTAATGGACAATTAATATTTCTTCAATGGGCACAAATGTCTAGCTTTGCCCAGCTTCAGCCCCATCTGGCTTGACCAATGACCAGGAATAATGGGAGCTGTAGTCCAAAAACCTGCTCCCTCTTCTCCCTCCCATTACTTCCTTGGTCCTATAAAGCATGGAATTTAATTTCTGACTACAATCACTGCTCAAACAATAGTTTGCTGTCATGTCTCTGATTTGATCACTATTGCAAAAAAGAAAGCAGCCAGAAGATGGTGGTTCTCAGGACAGGATCCAAGGTATCTCAAACATTCTGAAATATAATGTTAGTTTAAATCGTGGTGACTTAAAGGGTTGGGGAAAAGGAAAGGAAAATGCATTTAGCTCATGAGCAAAGTTTTTTTAAAAAAGAAGAGGGCAAGAACTCATAATGATTGAAAAATGGCCCGAACATAAACAGGGCATTAGGTAGAATTAACAGACTACACCTCCAAGCCATCAAAAATTCCCGGTTGAATAAAAGATGGTTTTCAAAGACTCCAAGATACCTCAAGGCCAACATCTCTCCTGAAGACAGGAGCTGATTGGAGCTGAAGCATTTCCCTTCTCGATGCATTTGAGTGAGCATTTTAAATCTCCAAAGATTGAACTATAAAGAGAAATTAGTTCATTAATAATTCACAGGCTTCAAGAAGGGGGAAAAAATGTCAAAAGCGTATGCTCATGAACAAAGCTGATGTTGTCCCCCCACCCTACCCAGTTTGGAATGGAGCAACATGTAGGAATGCCATGCTCAGAAAATTTAATTCAGCATTGTTGTCTCCCTCCTCCCCCCCCCCCTTTACCCATGTAAGCATTTATTCTGACTTCTTTGCAAGCGCTGAAAGTTCTTCAAATCCCAAATGACTTATGTGAAACATTAAAAGCATGCTATCATCTTCAAGTCTTTAATAAGCTAGGACATTTTCATGGCATAGTTGTTATCCCACAGCTCTTAATTTTTAGTCTGGGAGTTAGACAACATTTCCACAGGCTGCAAAAACAAGTTGTGCCCCTGAATCGGCAAGCTGCATAAGTGTGTGTCACATTTTAAACCTGCGAGGAATCTTGATGGAGTCAGTGCTCTCTTTCTACTACTATCAACTGTTTGGGAGCGGGTATTTGTCATATAACACAATGCCTATCAATGTATCCTGCAGTGCCATTGTGTAAACCCACAGAGCAGAATACCATCCTATACATTAACAGTGAACAAACTGGCTGCATCCATTTGAAGCACATTACTTCCCTCACAAAAATTCTGGGAACTGTAGCTTCTTCCTCACACAAATAAAATTCCCAGCACCCTTAACAAACTACAGTTCACAGGATTGTTTTGAGGGGGCGCGCCATGTGCTTTAAATTGATGGTGTGTGTGTAGCCATTATTTGAGTGCATGGAGCTTATTGTTTAAATTATGGGATTTGCTCTCTCAAAAGGCAATGATGGCCTCCAATTTGGGTGGCTTTAAAAGAGGATCAGACGAACCCATGGAAGAAAAGGCTACCAATGGCAACCAGTCACAATGGTTCTGTTCCACCTCCATTGTCGGCGGCAGTACGCCACTAACTGCCAGTTGCAGGAAAATACAAGTGTGAAGAGTGCTGAAGGCATCTGGTAGGCAAATGTGAGAACAGGATTCTGGGATAAATGGGCCTTTCTCCTGATCCAGTAGGGTTCTTCTGGGAAGCCTGCAGCATGATAATGCTACATGACCTTCCCATTTGAAGAGTTCCAAGCTAGACATTATGGGAAGAAGGGGAAAGAGGCATAGGGCTGCTATTTGGGTGGTACCTGCTGTGATGCCTAGTTCCAACCTAAGAACTCCCTTTCCTCCTTAGTGGAAGAAGGCCCACATTTCAACTGGACTCCTTCTGCATCCTTTATCCCTGCTGCTCCTGTACAATAAGAGCACAGAAATTAATAAAACAGCCCTTGGTTACTAGTTAAATATGCTGTTTACATTTGTTTCTCACTTACTAATATTCCTTGGAAAGATAATATTACTACTGTGGGAAGGAATCTGATGAGAAAGACTGAAGGGGCTCCTCCCAGCAATCAGGAGATGATTATGAGGATAAAACAAAGAAGCATTTATACTCTTGAAGGGCTGTCCAACTGTCCAGACCCTGTGCTGTTTCCAGAACCCTAACACAGCTGTGATTCCCATGAGAATCTCTACTGACTCATACTACAGGCCACTCCTAAGGTTAATCCCACTGGATAGTACTTGGCCTGCAAATCATTGCTCTGTGAACATAATATATTAAAGTGCATGCACCCCCCTCAACCCACTGAAAAATAACTTTCCCCTACAATGTGAAGTGGAGAAAATTTTGTGAAGGCCTCATACAAGCCTACATAATAATAAAGTTTTCGTTTAGATCTTCTAGGGCCTTTCCTGTGTTCTAAATGGACTGGGACAATCTGAATTTTATTTCTGCACTCTGAAGGTCGGAAACAGGAAATCAAAGTGGACCCAATATTTTGATGTATTTACAATACATTTGTTTTTATTATGTTTTTATTCTATTTCATGGCATGAATTTTAATCGTTGCAAGCCTCCTTGACCAGTCAGTAGGCACTAGAAGGGGGTAACTGAAATCGCCATATAAATATAAAGCTAATTTATTGCATGCTCCTCAAAAGGGATTCAAACTGGTTTTGTGGCCAAAGATAACCAGAGACTCAGCTACTAGGAAGCAAGTTCAAATTATTAAAAAATCACCAGCTATTTCTTAAGCTCCTCAAGATTTTCAAGATCAGTGGGTGGCAGTCAGCAAAGTTTTACTCAAAGTAGACCCATTGAAATTAGCAGCCCTAACGTACAACGCAATCCTATACACCTGTTTTCAAATGTAAGCCCCACTGAATTTAATGGGGCTTAATCTCAGGTAAGAGAGAGTGGCTATAGGACTGCAGCCTTAGTCATGTTCGTTACTTTCCATGGGACTACTCTGAGTAAATGCCAACTATTGTAAGGGCTCATCCACACTTCCACTTGTCCCGCGCCTAAAAAGCACAGGTCAGAGCAGTTTTTCGCCTGACCCACACTTTCTAGGCACAGTTCTGAGTGGTTTCCCCCTTGCCCCACTCCATTCCCAAGGGAGACCTGCTTGCTAGCTCTTGTTGTTGTTTAGTCGTTTAGTCATGTCCGACTCTGCGTGACCCCATGGACCAGAGCACGCCAGGCACCCCTGTCTTCCACTGCCTCCCGCAGTTTGGTCAAACTCATGCTGGTAGCTTCGACAACACTGTCCAACCATCTCGTCCTCTGTCGTCCCCTTCTCCTTGTGCCCTCCATCTTTCCCAACATCAGGGTTTTTTCCAGGGAGCCTTCTCTTCTCATGAGGTGGCCAAAGTATTGGAGCCTCAGCTTCAGGATCTGTCCTTCCAGTGAGCACTCAGAGCTGATCAGAACAAATGACAATCCATGGAAAACCCAATTGCTGTTTTATCTGACTGAGTGCTAAAGAGCACTTTCCCCAGGAGAAAGCAGTGGGACAAGAGGAAGTGTGGATAAGCCCTAAGTTTTGTTTTATTTAACCCAAGATTTCAAAGTTGCTGGTGTGCAGCTGCAGAGGTGCATTGGCTTATTCAATGAACCGAATGAATTCAACTGCAGTGCCTATGGACAGCCACCCTGGAACCCTACGAAGATTACCACCAGGATAAAAATAAAAATTGACAACAGGCAATACCATTGTGCAGAGTTCAGATGAGCAAAGCCACTTCTTATCTCTTACCTAGAAACAACTGAAAAACAAAGCAGCTATTTAAATTTTTTAAAAAATAATGACATCAGTCATGTGGGTAATAAAACATCCTGCTATATAAACCAGAATTGAATCCTTGACCTTCAGATGTCCTTTTCTAAAGGCCCATCATTCATTCTTCAGGAGCAACTATTTGTCTGCTTCTAATTCCATTACTAGAGATAGACTTCACATATTGGCCATTAAGTTAAACAGCTGTTCATTAAGCTGCTGGAAAAGAATAGCAGCCTAGTCTTGTGTTGCTGCTGGCCAAGGGAAGAAATTTCTGGTCCTGGAAAATGAAGTATTGTGTGCTGGGTCCTCACAAAGGACGGAGGGTAACTTTGTTCAGTCCGCATTTTAAAGCAAATCAACCTAATCTGCATTTCCCAGATTTACAGTATATGTGTACTGGATTGCAGTTAGCAATTGTATTGCATGTGTCTCTATAAAATTCCATGATGCACTTTCGGTTCCAAAAATGAATACAAAATAGTGTAGATTTTGCAGGGAGGGAAAGTGTATTTGGGGAAAGGAAGTACATAGAAAAGCATTCAAAAATTATATATTTGGAGGAAATGCACACAAAACCCAAATTTGGAACAGAAGTGCATACATAATATGTACAATTTTCCTGTGACTTTTGTGTGAAATCTGCAGAAAACAGGACAGAACTGACTTGTGACTGTATGCATGCAACACTCACATGGAACGGAAATAGACTGAACTATCCATCCCTCGTTCCCACTCATTCAAAGCCAGAATTTGCACCAGCATAATGGTTTCAAGGACCTCTGGAAAATATAAATAATTATGAATATAAAATGATGATGTAATTGTTCTATGCCCCATCCACAGATTGTTTCTGTCCACTACCCACAGGAAACAAATGTGTGTTGGGCTGCTTTCAGTGCAGGGCCCATACTGAGCCAGCTAAGCACTAGAATACGTAGTAACCATAAGGTGTGCAGTCTTGCTTTCACTAGTAGATTGCCAAAGAAGAAGAAGTACTGTGGTACCTTGGTTCTCAAACTCCGAAAACCCGGAAGTAAGTGTTCCAATTTTCTTTTTTTTAAAAAAAAAAAAATTATTACTTTTCCAACAATTTAAACACTACAAAAACAATACAATACAATACAATACAATACAAAAACACTACATAACACTAACACATTAAACTAACAAAACAAAACAAAAACAGTTAAACACATCAAACAATTTCAATATCTTATCTTTCATTCACTTATTTCCACGACCTCCTCACACCTCCCTTTTTGTATTCCACTTCTGTTAATTGTTTCAGCAATTCCTTTCCATCTTCCTCTGTTTTCTATCCTATAATTATCTTAACACATTCTAACCTTATTTTTCCCTTTAATTCTCTATTAATCTATTTATACTTAATTCCTTATAACATTTCTACTAAAGCCATATAACTTCATTCCAACATTTTTCTAACATTCATTAATTTTACAGTATTTCTGTAAATAGTCTTTAAACTTTTTCCAGTCTTCTTCCACCGACTCTTCTCCCTGGTCTCGGATTCTGCCCGTCATTTCCGCCAATTCCATATAGTCCATCAACTTCATCTGCCATTCTTCCCGGGTGAGTAAATCTTGTGTCTTCCAATACTTCGCGATGAGTATTCTTGCTGCTGTTGTTGCATACATAAAAAAAGTTCTATCCTTCTTTGGCACCAATTGGCCGACCATGCCCAGGAGAAAGGCCTCTGGTTTCTTCAGGAAGGTATATTTGAATACCTTTTTCATTTCGTTATAAATCATCTCCCAGAATGTCTTAATCCTTGGGCATGTCCACCAAAGGTGAAAGAATGTACCTTCAGTCTCATTACATTTCCAACATTTATTGTCGGGCAAATGGTAATTTTTTACAAGCTTGACTGGTGTCATGTACCACCTATAAATCATTTTCATTAAATTTTCTCTTAGGGCATTACATGCCGTGAATTTCATACCTGTGGTCCATAACTGTTCCCAGTCGGCCATCATTATGTTATGTCCAACATCGTTATGTTATGTCCAACCCGGAAGTAAGTGTTCCAATTTTCAAATGTTTTTCAAAAGCCGAACATCCGATGCGGCTGTCGGCTATTGTTTCCAGAGCACCTGCACCAATCAGAAGCTGTGCCTTGGTTTTTGAACATTTTGGAAGTCAAATGGACTTCTGGAACTGCTTAAGTTTGGCGCTTTTGTTTTTTGTGTTGTTGTTTTTGGCGCTATTTATTTTGTGTTTTTGTTTTTGAGGCTTTTTTGATTAGTTTGTTTTTGTGACTGTGTGGAACACAGTTCAGCTACTGATTGATTGATTGATTGATTGATTGTGTGACTGCGGAAATGGATAAAAGCCCCCCATCCAGACAATGGCTATCATCTCTGCAAGTAAGGGGGGGGGGAATAATTTTTATTTTTATCATCTACAATATTGTCTTATTTATTTTATAATACAGTACATTGATTGTTGCTTTCATCTTATGGATCAATGTCTTGTTAGATAGTAAAATTTATGTTAAATTGCTGTTTTAGGGGTTGTTTTTAAAAGTCTGGAATGGATTAATTCATTTTGCATTACTTTCAATGGGAAACCGTGCCTTGGTTTTGGAACGCTTTGGTTTTGGAACAGACTTCCAGAACGGATTAAGTTTGAAAACCAAGGTACCACTGTACTGGAGAGGCGCACCATACCTGTAAACATCTGCAAATTAAGGGAATGTGTTTCCAGGGTGAAACGAGTGACTTCTAGGCCCCTTATTTTTGAATATTTTGTTTATACTTTTGCTATAAATTTAGGCTTCTGAAGGCCAGGACAGTTGATACTGTTGTCATTAATCTAACTCAGGAAATAGTTCGTAAAGTTTGTTCAACAGAAGCTTTAAAGAAGCTTTGAAGGGAAGTTTGTGTGTGTGTGTGTGTGTGTGAGAGAGAGAGAGAGAGAGAGAGAGAGAGAGAGAGAGAGGGACAGGGACAGAGACAGAGACAGACAGACGGACAGACAGACAGAGAAAGGATTTTTCAAAACTAACAGTTTTATGAACTTCAAACTTCTTCAAAGAAATTAAAATACTGTTGCAATTTTGAAACTGTCTACAAAGAAACACACACACTTCAGTCAGTCCTATTGTTTTGTATTTCATGACTAGGGCAATATTACTCACTTAATTAACATTGCCGTGATATATACAATATCTCTTTCCTCTGTTCAGTTGAGGGATTTCTTAACAGGGAACAGTTGCGCACAGTTTGTCAGTAACAGCCCAACAAATGTAGCAAATCAATTCTAAATAAAGTTCAAGGAAGCGCACCCCTCCCCTCTACACACAGAGACACACAAGCTCCCATCACAGATGACAAAGAGTTACTAATGAATGTTGGAAGAAAAGGAAGCCTAGAATGGATTTTACACCTGTTCTTCAATACAGTGGTACCTCAGGTTAAGTACTTAATTCATTCCGGAGGTCCGTTCTTAACCTGAAACTGTTCTTAATCTGAAGCACCACTTTAGCTAATGGGGCCTCCTGCTGCTGGCGCGCCGTCGGAGCACGATTTCTGTTCTCATCCTGAAGCAAAGTTCTTAACCCAAGGTATTATTTCTGGGTTAGCAGAGTCTGTAACCTGAAGCGTATGTAACTCGGGGTACTACTGTATCCCAGTTAAGTTAACCAGCTTTTAGTGGTAAATAAAAATAACAGTGCAATCTTATACATAGCTACTCAGAGAAGTAAAACCAATTAAATACAATGGGGCTGACTTCCAAATAAGTGGGTATAGGATTGCAGCCTACGTTCCCAGAAAGGGGAATTGATTGTAAAACTATGATGGGAATTGTAGTTCTGTAAGAGAAATAGTGGTCTCCTAACCATTCTCAGCACTCTTAACAAACTACAGTTCCCAAGATTCTTTGGGGGAAGTCATAGCTTTTTAACGTGGTATGATACCGCCTCAAATGCACAGTGTAAATGAGGCCTCTGCCTCTCGCAAGGTCCAACTGCAATCAGATATTGATTATTCAATAGAATTCCAGCTGCTAAGATATTGGTTGCTTTTTCCTCATAAATAAGTATTGATTTGGCTATATTACAGCTTCTTTCAGTCACTTGGGCTCATTACTTTATTTCCCAACACTTGATTAGGGGATTCTTTTGTTTTCATGGCCTTTGACATGGTATTTATACAAGAAAGCATATCTCAGCACAGGCAAAAAAGAGAGCAAAGACAAAAAGAAAGAAAGAAAGAAAGAAAGAAAGAAAGAAAGAAAGAAAGAAATCATACTTTAAACTCCTATGTTGAATTAACTTTATACCTTATTGTACTTAGATTACATGTTACTTAAGTACATTTATTTACCTGCCAATGTCCTTTCTCTCATTATAAGGGCTAACATTCATTCTTTGTGGATCAGAGAATAGAGAGGAAAGGAAGAGAAACAACAGCAATTGGTTCTGAAAAATTTCTTCCAACTTTTATTGTCAAGAAGGGGTTTCACCACCAAGTGAGTGAAGTTTTGGAATGGTCTTCCTAAAATACGATTAAATAATTTCATTAAGGTGATTATTATATTATATTATATTATATTATATTATATTATATTATATTATATTATAATATTATTATATTAGCCACCCTTCACCATAAAGTCCCAGGGCAGGTTGCAGCAATTTAAATATAGAATATTAACATCAGTTTAAAACCAATTACAGTCAGAAGAATAGGATGGGTCTGGGGGGGGGGGGGAGAGAGAGAGAGAGAGAGAGAGAGAGAGTGTTGAAGTAGATGGGTGCATCTTCCACAAAACTATAGGTTAGTGAAGATGGGATGCGGGTGGCGCTGTGGGTTAAACCAATGTGCCGCTTGGGCTTGCCAATCAAAAGGTTGGCAGTTCAAATCCCCACAACGGGGTGAGCTCCTGTTGTTCTGTCCCAGCTCCTGCCGACCTAGCAGTTCAAAAGCATGCAGTGCAAGTAGATAAATAGGTACGAGTCTGGCAGGAAGTAAACGGGAAGGTAAACGGCAATTTCGTGCGCTGCTCTGGTTTCGCCAGAAGCGGCTTAAGTCATGCTGGCCACATGACCCAGAAAAACTTTCTGCAGAAGCCGACAAACGCCTGCTCCCTCAGCCTGTAAAGCGAGATGAGCACCGCAACCCCAGAGTCGTTCGCGACTGGACTTAATTGTTAGGGGTCCCTTTACCTTTGCCCTATAGGTCAGTGATGGCCAAACCTGGCCCTCCAGCTGTTTTTAGACTACAACTCCCATCATCCCTAGCTGACAGGAGCAGTGGTCAGGGATGATGGGAATTGTAGTCCCAAAACAACTGGAGGGCCAAGTTTGGCCATCACTGCTATAGGTGGAATCCAGTGTGCCACAAAGAGAATTGTTCCATAAGTGGAAGGATTTCTATTTGCACAATTGAATGTTCTCTCCTCACCCTATTCCTTGTTTATATTACAGGATTTTAAATTTCTTATTTTAGATTAGTCATTTAACAAAGAAGAAGTAGTGCAAATGGTATGCATGAGTCAGGTTACAGGTGCTGTTTCCCAACCCACCAGCAGTTTCTTCCTCTTTCCTTTCATAAGAGCTACTGAGAGGCTGGAACCATGAAATCCCAGGTGACCCTGCATTTCCAGTGCAAGATGAGGCAGTGGAGAGTGATTCCTGACACCGTGTTCTGGATCTCATTGTGGCTCTCGTATTATTCACAATAACGCACTCAGAGCAGCCTGGTTTGGGGTATCGGCTCCAGAAATGACAAACCATTGCATCAAGCTGTTGCCCTTGTTTCTTCTTTTTCAGTATTTCACATCTCCTAGGTTTCTGCTCACTTTCTAGCAAATTTACATCCCAATTTCCCAACTCTAATACCTCTTTCACAGTCTAACCCAGGGGTAGGCAACCTAAGGTCCATGGG